GTCCATTAGAGGTTATATTCTGTTGAAGACACTGATGCGTCCATTAATAAGCTTATTTATAACGAATCAGAATCAAATGCTTTCGTTATTATTTTGCCAGATAGAGAGCATCCTACAAACGTGGATGTGTTTTGATGAATATGTCTCAGATATGAGTTCAATCTCGGATTTATAATTCTGTCATTGCTTATGTAACTTTCTAGAACCCAAACGAGAAAAAGGACCATATTCAAAGATTACCTTTCAATATTGCTGCAAAAATATGTTTTTATAGAATCTGGTGAGCCGGAAATTCTCTATGATCGGGAGCCGACTTTGTCTACTTTATTTCTCAAATGATCTGCTATTTGGACTTTGCTAAGACACCAATCTTCTTTTAAATTACACTCAAACTATTTTAATACTTTCTTATCAATGAAGGATAATTAATATTTGAACTAAGAATATTTTTAAATATTATTACGAAGAGACGTATCACTAGACTATGAGTTAGTTAGTCCAAAATATAATATTGACACGCCCAATCACTAGTTATGCTCTAAATAACGGTGACATAAAAGAAAAACTAACATATCCAATCATACAAAATTATAAGTACAATAAAGCCAACAAAACAGAAAACTAAAAGAGAGGATGACTTTATATATGTTTTGTTAATGGTTCATACCATCACTATAAGCCGAGCCTATTAGAGAACACCATGTGGCCATAAGAGACTAGGTCCCCCATATACCGACCCGACCAGAGGTACTACCCCCGGTGTCGATCAAGGGCCTCTTAAGCCGAACTTGAAGGGAGAAAGTGTGAATTAGTGATCGGGCATGCAAACACCGACTCGACCATTAGGATACTGTGTGTGACCAGAGGCGCATTGACATTCTGGAGGCACGATCAGACCCCTATCGCGTCAGTCACTCCCTCCGTCTGATGGACAACCTGGTGATGGAGATAGATAAATTAATGTACCTCACATCCAAAGCCAGGTGTCGCGTTACCATTTAATCCCTGGTATACAACCTGGTGATGGAGATGGATCAATTAATGTACCTCACATCCAAAACCAAATGTTGCTTTGCCACTTAATCTCTGTCAGACAACATGATGATCAAGAGGGATTAATTAATGTACCTCAGTCCTACCAGGGGCAAGAAGGAGAGAAATATCTCCTCCTTAGATCTTTATCTCCCCTTCTCCCCTCTATAAATACCCTTCACTTGCATCATGACAAAGGTAATAAATAATCTCACCTTAAAAACCCTACATCCATCTCTCCACCTCTAAACCACTTCTGACTTAACCATTGAAGGGGGTTCAACTAGGATAAACCCCAGTTTGCTCCTATTCTGATAACTCTTCAAAGTGTGCAAGTTATCTCCAAGAGGTATCTCTACCACGAGATTGAGTGTAAGCCTTAACCTTAATCAAGGTTCATGCCATTTACTTTGCGAGAAGGACGACTGGTTTACATGTTTACTCATTAGATCAAACATCTTTTTCATAGTGAAAAGATAACTAAGCTTAAGTTGAATGGAGTCAATTTCCTGTCCTTATAAATTGTGTTGAATGGAGTCAGTTTCCTTTCAAGAATGAAGAGTGCAAGTCCAAGGCTAGAATTGGGAGATGCCATGGCCTTCAACAGGTAAGAAAACAGAAGCATGGGTCCTAGCTAGGATATAATCATATATCAGCTTTTGAACCATTTTTATTTTTCTTCGCTCAAAGCCAAAACAATAATCTAGTAGTCATGATCACTCAAAATGTTTTAATCCTTCCTAATTTGTTATAGTGCATTTCTTTGGACTCATAAGAATTTAATAGGTTCACTGACAAGTTGGTTTATATAGGGAAATTGCTTTTCGTTTATATAAAATGGCTAATACTTTTAGGGTTGATTTTTTCTTTTCTAAAAGGAAAAAAGAAAGAGATAATCAAACTTTGACCGGAAGTGCGAAGTAAAACGAGAATGAAATTAATATTTTACTATCATTTGTTTTAGTTGAATCATTATTTTCTACATTTTATTATTATTCATCATTTATTTAATACAAGCGATAGTTTAAATTACAGAGAAGTGAGATTTCTCACACGCACACACAACTATGATATCGTGGGAATTCGAACTTGAGATCTCTGAGTCTGCAAGTAAAGACCATTTTCCAAATTCATAGAAAAGCAGTCAGTTTATGTGTGGACTGTGGGGACTTGAACTCAGAACCTATGTTGCACAGACACGGATACACAACATGTGGACACGGGGAAATGGAGACACGACAATTAAATTTTTTTTATTTATAATAATATATATATATAATATTGATGTTCATAATACTATATAGTGAAATTAGTTTTCCAAACCTTTCAAATATAATTTATTAATTTTATACGAATTAACATAATCTTTTTACTTAATTAATCGGATCCAATTTCCACACACTGGCCCCCCTGTTTTTTGGTGTTTCCTTGTCCTTTCGTTTGTTGAGATGGGAGGTCATTATTTATGGTAGGGAAGGGATGATGCATAAGGAGAGGAGAATAGGATGCAATTCGTGCATATTATTAATGTATGTAGCTAAATGTTTATCTTTGCTTTACGTCCATTTTGCTTTGCATCCCTTTGCAAATTAGCATATGCTCATCAATGTTGGATTGGACTGGATTTTGTCGAGTTCATTTTCATATCCAAGGCAAATTAGCATATGCTCATCAAGGCAAATTAGCATGTGCCTTGAGGTTGGGAAAAAAAACTACATAGAAAAAGGCAAAAACGTAAATGTAACTCTCATATTAATCATGTCTATAGCACATGAGCTTACTCATTCACCTTTAACAAAACAAAATTCAAAACTCATTCACCTAGCACAAAACAAAAAGAGGTCATTTTCTATATGCTTATTATTAAAACAATTTATCACTTTTAACTTTTTTTTTTTTTTTTGGTTGATAAAAAATAATTTTTCTTTTTAGCTATTAAGTTTAAGGTTGCTTTGGAAATATGTAGGAATGTGTCGACAGTGTTCATATAAGTGTGAAATGAACTTTGTGTGGGACAGAATCCAATCCAATCCAACCATATTCAAAAAATTTGTGTGATATGAACTTTCTGTTAACAGTAGATTGTGATGTTTTGTACTAAAAAATTATGTCCTCATGTTTCACGTGAATGATATGCTTTTTTTCTATTTTGTTTTTGCTAAACAAGATATGCTTTTCTTTTGCTTTTAGTAATGTATTAGTGATATGCATCCATTCTTTATACCACAAACAAAGATTAGTCATTTCCCGTAGATTAGGCATGTTTACTTATTGAAAAAATGGAGAACTCGTGTAATGATGGGAAGCTAGAAATATATAAATTAAGAAATTAGAATTGGATCAACTACCCACCCTAATTGATCTGATTCTTGATTGTGAGGGTATTGTGTTACGAATTTTAAAGTCATAAAACTAATGTATTTTTTTGTGAAAAAATAAAGTGAACCAATTGTTAAAAATGTCTAAACTACATATATAAACCATTCACTGTTGCGATATGCTATTATTATTATTATTTTTTAATATAAGTGATAGTCTAAATTATAAAGATAAAGGGGGGATTTTCACACACAATACCAAGATGCCATGGAGTTTCAAACTTGGGATCACTGGTCTGCAAGTCAATGCACCTTTTCACTGGATTAGACCCCGTGGCGTGATTTATATGCTATTATTTGTATTTTGCCCATCATGATTTAAAAACTCTATACTAGTTTTTAAGAAATTCATTTTATCAATCACATTTTTGAAAAAAAAAAAAAAAAAACTTATATTATATCCCTACTCACATTGACATTAAAAGAAAAAAAAGACTATCTAATGAGGGTAAAACAGTAATTAAAAAAATATTTAAAAAACAAAAATAAACCAAACTTCTCACATGTTTTTCTCCGACCACTCTTCCTAGTTTTTCTCTTCTTTCCTCAGTAATAACGTTCTATCCCACATGCAGAGCATGAATAGAAATCTCTAGTATAAGATTACAAGGCAAATTCCATCAATCAACTCTACTCTCTCTCTTTAGCTTCTAAATGAACCCTTCCTTAAAAAACGTCTCCATTCTGATCGTTTCCCAGAATATATGTAACCTTTGTTTCTGAAATTACGGTTTTGCAATCGTTTTTCTTTTCTTTTTTGTTAGATTTATTTTATGTAATCTTTGTAAGGAAGCCAATGCTCTACATATATCTCCATCATTATAAACTTTCCTATATGTAAATCAATTTTCTTCCAACTTGGTATTCTCATCTAGGGGTGGCATTTTAAACCGAAAAACCGCAAAAACCAACCGACAATTTACCGCAATGAAACCGCAATCGCAGTAAACCAAACCGCATTTGCGGTATTAAGAACCGAACCGCATTTGCGGTTGCGGTTGTGGTATTTGATTTTCAAAACTTGCGGTTACCGCAAACCGCAAAGTATAGCC